CTGTCTGTCTGCCTGCCTGTCTGCCTGTCTGTCTGCCTGCCTGCCTGCCTGTCTGTCTGCCTGCCTGTCTGTCTGTCCGTCTGTCTGTCTGTCGGTCTGTCTGACTGTGTGCCTGTTTAAATGCCTGCCTATCTGTCTGCTTGTCTTTTTGTCTTCCTGTTTGTGTGTCTTTCCATCTGCCTGTCGGCCTATCTATCTGGCTATCTGTCTGTCTAAAGTCGTTTTAATAATGATGATGATGATGATGATGATGATATTAATCATAATGATAATAATAGTAATAATAATAATAATAATGGTTTATTAACAATATCCATACAAAAAAGGGCTCTTCATCTGTTACTAACCAATAAATTACAAAACCCACTAAAATTAAATCCGACTAACGAATGAATAGACAAAACAGTGATTACGTGTAGACACTAAATGTATGTACAAAGTTAAAGATATTTACAATTAAAATGTATAAAAAGGTGATGTGTCTCACAGGAATATTTAAAAGAATTTTTATTTAAGATAATACCATGCAATGTTAGGAATTTATGGTTTTAGCCACCTTTGTAAGTTAGCGTCTCAGTTATCTCGGAAAAGAACCAGCTGTAGTCCCAGCTTCTATTTCAAATTTGTCATTGGCGTTCAGCAGTATGTTTATTGTCGCCTTTCATAATCAAGTGTTCAGTGTCTTCAGTTGCCACTTTGTTCGTTCAGTTGCCATTTTGTTCAGGTATACGGGCTCGTAATTTGATTTACCTCCGCTAGTCTTATAACTTTGTCGTTCAAAAGTCTTATACATTTCGAGTTCAAACTCTAACGAACTCCAAGGCTGCACAAACCAAAAGTGCCGTTACATTTGTGCTTTTGACCGCTGTAAAATTCTGTAATGTTGCGCGGTCATTTCTGTAGTTTCAGGCGTTCCCTTGTTGCAGGATGTTCATTCAGTCACCAATTTGTTGCCAATTTGTGTTTTGGATTGTTGTTTATTAGGTGAAACTGGAAAACAGAGAGCCTGAGCATTACATCAGTGCTGTGGAATCCCTTCAACAGATTAGGTAATTGTTTTCCTACTTCAATATCTACTATTTCATTCATTATCTATTATTTACTAATAAACCAGATGTATTACTTTCCTTACAGTACAAAATTTAGTCCAATGGAGAAGCTTGGAGTTCTAAAGACAACTTTTGAACAGATAAATAAAGTAGGTTGCATTCTTGTTTACTCTTGTTGCGAACACTTTCCAGAATCGCAGTTAAAATTTCTAATTTTCACTTCCCTTAATTCCCCTGTCCTTAATTTTGTACTTGTGAGATGCACTGAAACCTTTTGTGTGTTTCAGCATTCAATAAAGTAATTTGTTATAATTGCTTGGCTAGGACGTTAGTTCATTCTGGCAAGGAGAGAGAAAGCTAGTGTCTCTGGACGATTTGTTCCCAGTCTTTCAGTTTGTGGTCATCCGGGCAAGGTAACACACATTCATTCACTTGTGGTGTAGTTTACTTAGCTAAAAGTTGTATTCTTTGACCTACCCTACCCTTCTTGTCTCTTTCCTTCCCTACACTCTCCTACCCTTTTCCCTTTGCTTCCCTACCCTTTCTCTCCCCATCTTCCCTACTCTTGCTTTCCCTTACCCTTCCTTACCCTTCCCTACCCTTTCTCTCCCCATCTTCCCTACTCT